AGCAAATTTAAAGTTGAATTAAATAGCAAATTTGAAGCCGAGTGGAATCGAATTAAAAGTTATGGAATTAGTAGTAGAATGGAATAAAGAGTTTGAATAACAAATCTAAAAGTATGCCTGGAAAAATAAACGAGCGTGTTTGCTACTAGGAGTACTCCAGTCGAAGAAGGCCAAAAGACCAATGATGGTAATGTGAAAAACTTGCATTTTTATACACCCTTCGAACCAATGGCAATGGAGGTACTACTCCTTCCGACCAATAGTAATTGATTATTAATGTCTTTGACGGTATTTTCCCGTGAAAATAAATTACCTTTACGGTATGTTTGAAAAAAAATGAATGTAATAAAGAATGTAACACCTCCAACAAAGAACATAACACCTCAAACAATACTTGCTAATTGAGGCGGCGCGTCAGACGCTGCTGTCCAGCGCCCTGCTTCATCTCTATCTATCTATCTAAAAAACTTATATAGCGCCGGTATCCAAAACTATGTTTTGTTCAAAGGCGCTGAAAGCAAACACTATAAATCTGTAGAGTTATTCCACACTGTAGGCTTTGCTGAACAAGTAGGTCTTAAGTTTCTTCTTAAATATATTGAAATCAGTAACTTCACGAAGATCAAGTGGAAGGTCATTCCAGAGTTTTGAAGCAGCATATGAGAAGGCACGTCCACCATATGTTTTCTGTCTGTAGTTAGTGTTACGGAGCAGCTTCTTATTGGAAGAACGAAGACAGCGACTGGGTGTGTACACATGAAGTAGATCAAGAATGTAGTTTGGAGCAAGTCCATTCAGAGCTTTGAATGTCAACAGCATAAGTTTGTAGTCAATCCTATAACGAACAGGTAGCCAATGTAACTTCTGTAGAACTGGAGATATGTGATCATATTTTCTAGTGCAGGTGATGATTCTTGCAGCAGTATTTTGAGCATGTTGAAGAAGATTGATGCCATTGTCCGGCAGTCCAAATAATAATGAATTCCTATAATCAAGCTTAGCAGATAGAACAGCATGAATGAGTATTGTCAAAAGTAACTCCCATGTTATGAGCAGATGTGACTGGTGCAAGTGAACTGGTACAAATGGTGATTTTGTCAATTGGATCAGGCAACTTGGTAAGCTTTGAGCGAATGAGCAGTACTTCAGTCTTAGAGTCGTTGAGTTGGAGGCTTGTTTTGCGTCATCCAGTGTTTAATATCAAGCGTACAAGCCTCAATTGAGGCTACAGCCGAGATGGAGTCCTTGCGAGTGAAATCGTGATAGAGCTGGTTGTCATCAGAATATTGGTGAAAGTCTAAGTTGTGTTGACGAATGAGTTTACCCAAGGGGGAAATATAGATGGTGAACAGAATAGGGCCAAGTACAGAGCCTTGTGGTACCCCAAAGTGAAGCTGAGATGGCTCGCTAGTGACACTTGAAACTGAAACTGATTGACATCGATGTTGAAGATAAGATTCAAACCACTGGAGAGCCATATCAGTAACACCAAGATTGGACAGTCTGTTGAGCAGAATATTGTGATCGATGGTGTCAAATGCAGCTGATAGATCCAGGAGACAGAGTAATACGTAGTTACCAGAGTCGATGAAAGAACAAATGTCATTATGGATTTTCAGAAGAGCTGTTTCAGTGCTGTGGTACTTTCTATATGCAGATTGTAGTGGTTCCAGAAGTGAATTTGCAGTAAGATAGTCCGTCAGTTGAGAAGCAACAATCCTCTCTAAGACTTTGGAGAGAAACGGCAAGTTTGAAACAGCGTATTGTGATCAAG